CCTCGCTCAGCCGCCGAGCGGCCGCGTCGTGGTCCTCCGTCGTGTCCGTGGCGATGGCGGCGGTGGCGCCGGCGGCGCCGGGCCGCGCCACCGACACGGGCCTCAGGAGCACGGTGCCCACGCTGGTGGTGAGCAGGCGGCCGTGCGCCGTGTCCTCCGACAGGCTGCGGCCCAGGCGGAAGCGGGCGAAGAGCTCGCCGCCCTGCGCAAACTTGGCGCCGCCCGAGGTGCCCGTGAGCATGTAGCTGCGCACCAGCTGCAGGTCGGCGCGGATGTTGAACCTGGGGACACGGGGGCGGCAGGAGGGTGTCGCGGCTATTGGCCCGTTCGATCGTCACGCGCGGCCGGCGAGGGAGCGCTGAGCCCCGTCGTGCGGCCACGCCTGCGACGGCGGCCGCGTCCGTCCGTCCGCCCGCCCTTTGCGTCGGCGACACAGATACAAGTGCCGCCTGTTGGCGCGGGGCACGTTTCTAACCGGCAAGACGCAGCGAAGGGGCCGATTGGATTTCGATCTGCGCATCGTGTGGGGGGGGGGGGGGGGGCCAAGGGGAGCAGAAACGAACGAATAGCGGGGTCTGTCTGCCCCGTGGACCGTGATGATGACGATGGCGGTGATCACGGTTCACAGCCAACAGAAGTGCGCGCTTGCCGGGGACGTGTGTGTGTGTATGTTGAACTTCTTTCACACCATACGTAGCCAACCCGTGCTGTGTGTGTGTGTACGTTGAAATTCTTTCGCACCGCACTTAGCCGACCACGCTAATCGGATGTGCGGGGGGAAGGACAACAAACTAAACACAAAAAGCTGTTCTAAAGAAATTAGTTTGTCACTCTGGATTATTTAAAAGTGCACAGCTCTAATGGCGTGCTAATGGCTTGTTGTGCATGACGGTCGGCCCAGGTTCGGCCGTGCTTAGCTCCCGAGATCGAAGTTGGTCACAGACGCAGACACACACACGCACACACACACAAACACACACACGTGAACGCGCACACAAACACACACACGCGTGTACAACTACAACCACCATTCGCCACTAGGTGGCGGTGACGTCACTACAGCACTTGTGCCAGGCTATGTGCACGTTAAGGCCACGTGAAGTGTCAAACGCCCGCTGGCAGGAGGTCACAGGACAGACCCAGCAGGTGCCACGGGTTGACCGAGATGACTGGCCGATGCACCACCTGTGCCTCCTACTGCGCCAACTTGTGCGTACGCGCGCACGCACACACACACACACGCTAAGCACAAAAAAGCAATTCAGAAGAAATGAGATTTCAATGTAGATGATGATTTCAAAGTACGTAGCTCCAGTGAGTCTCAATATCGGAAGGAAGAGCGGCATTTCAGACGGCAGCACAAGCGCTTCTCCGAAAGCGCCGCGCCATGATGCGGAGACCGCCATCTTTGTTTGCCGCCTGTGGTGCTGCTGCTGCCGCGAGGATGAGCGGAGTTTGCGTGGCGATGGCTCAAACTCCTTGCCACGAGCACCACCAACAAGTGACAACGCGAGTCCCTGCCTAGCCCGAGGTGCCAGCACCGCCGCCTCCACCACCACCACCACCACCGCCACCTTCACCACCATCAACACCTCCACCACCATCAACACCTCCACCACCTCCACCATCACCACCGCCGCCACCATCACCGCCGCCACCATCAACACCTCCACCACCTCCACCGCCTCCACCACCACCGCCGCCACCTCCACCACCACTGCTGCCACCACCACCACCGCCTCCACCACCACCACCGCTGCCACCTCTGCCATCGCAGCCACCACCGCCGCCATCTCCGCCACTTCCACCATTGCCGCCTTCACTGCCGCCGCCGCTACCACCACCACTACTAAAACCACCGCCACCGCTACCACCACCGACCAAACCACCTCCATCCACCACCGACCCCCACCACCACCGACCCCCACCACCACCACCACCACCGCCACTACGTGCCACGCATCCGCGCCCTACCGGCTGATCTCCTTGTACTGCGCCAGCTCCTCGATGTAGAGCAGGTCGTGGAAGCGCCGGCGGTAGTTCTCGGCGCGCAGCGGCCGCTGCAGCGCCGGGCTGGAGAAGAGGCCGAGCGGCAGCTCCGGCACGCGGTACAGCTGGGTGGGGCCCGGCACGCCGCCCTCCTCCTCGGCGGAGCCCGCGGCGGGGATCAACGCGGCGGGCACCCCGACGGGCACGCCGAACTCCACGATGGTCACCGACGGGTTGCCGGCGTCCCACCAGTCGCACGACAGCAGCTGCAGGTCTTCCTCGGCGCTCGGCACTGTGGGAGTTGGGGGGGGGGGGGAGATGAGGAGTGGGGAGATGAGGGGCGGGGAGATGAGGGGTGGGGAGATGAGTGGGGAGATGAGTGGGAGATGAGTGGGAGATGAGTGGGGAGATGAGGGGCGGGGAAATGAGTGGGGAGATGAGGAGTGGGGAGATGAGGAGTGGGGAGATGAGTGGGGAGATGAGTGGAGAAATGAGTGGAGAAATGAGTGGAGAAATGAGTGGGGAGATGAGGGGCGGGGAGATGAGCGGGGAGATGAGGAGTGGGGAGATGAGTGACACATGGGTGCGTACGGGGATTCGTGAGGGATGCAAGGGGGCACACACAGCGACACACGGGGATGTCACGGGGTGGTGGTGGTGGGGGGGGGGACACACGTGGTAACCGAAAACACAAAAACTCATCAAATGAAAGAACCCGCGGCTGCTCACCCAGCGTGTCGGCCGTGTGCACAGTGAGGCTGCGCGCCAGCACGGGCCAGCAGCCAAAGTCGAACACCACCGTCTGGCGGAACGTGCCGTACACATCCGTGGAGAACTCCACGCTCACGCGGTACGCTCCCCTCGCTCCTCCTCCTCCTCCGTCATCGCCGTCGCCCGCCGCCCACTCCTGCCTGCCTCCCACCGCTCCGGCCGCGACGCCGTCGGCCGCCCCGTCCGGTCGCCGCCCCGGGCCCTGCGAGGCCTCGGAGGGGCCGCCGGGGGGCCGGTGGAGGGCGGCGGACGAGTCGGCGTCGCCGCCGCCGCCGCACGGGGTCGGAGGGCGGCCAGAGTCGCCCGGGGGGGCGGCGTCGAAGCCGGAGTCGTCGCGCGGCACCACGGAGACGACGTGGAAGTGCGGGCGGTGCGAGTCGTAGAGCAGCACCACGCGCTGCAGCGAGCGCGGCGGCTGGAGAGGGACACGGAGACAGCGATGACGACGACGACGACGCTGACGATGATGCTGACGATGATAATGACGACGGCGATGTTGATGATAACCGCGATAATGACGACAACGGTATTGCTGACGATGATAATGATAACGGCGATAATGACGACGGCGATGTTGATGATGATAACAGCGATAACGATGACGCTGCTGCCGCCGCTGATAACGAAAACAGCGATTGGGCACAGGGAGGAGGGAGGACAGAGAGAGAGAGGACGCAGCAGGAGATGAGAGAGGGAGAGAAAGGCGAGATGATGTGGAGTTTCGATTTAAAGCTTTCATGACTGCAGGGATTCATCTCCTTGGTTCTTTCGGTAAAGTCACGTAGAAGGGAAATAATAAAATAATAAAAATAAAACATTATAAAATAATTCTCACGACGTTTCGGCCACAACGCAAGCAGCCGTCCTCAGGTGAAGAACAGGTCTGTCGGAAAGACAGCGTCTGAATGACACACTCCAGGCTTGGCAGCGTATATTTAATTCCTTTGTCAAGGCGCTCTTCCCCCTCCAACCCAGCTTAAATAGACGCTCCAAGCCTGGGGTGTGTCATTCAGACGCTGTCTTTCCGACAGACCTGTTCTTCACCCGAGGACGGCTGCTTGCGTTGTGGCCGAAACGTCGTGAGAATTGTATTTCATCATGTTTCATTTTTATTATTTTATTATTTCCCTTCTACGCGACTTTACCGAAAGAACCAAGAAGATGACTTGGAGTGTTAGGGGTGGGTGACAAGAGAACGGAGGCGGCGTTCCAGCAGCGGAATGATCCCGAGGGCGGCGACGGCGGTGTAGGACGTGCCCCCCCCCCCCCCCCCACCTTGCACGCGAGCGCGAACTCCCAGGTGGCGCTGAATCTCTTGCTGCTCACAGCAAGCGTCAGGTCCTGCGAGTGGCTCACGTCCACCCCGTCCACAAACTCGCTCAGCTGGGAACGCACACACACGCAGAGGAGACAGATTCACCCCCACGCGCCCTCACCACCTCGCGCAGCCTTCGCCGGAATGCCGTGGCACACACACAGACAGAGGTGAGACAAGGCCATAAAGAAGGATGTCTCTGGTGTATGCCAATCGGTTTCACAGACAATGCATATATCATCAGAACATATTTGTTTGAATGTTCACCACAAGGCACAGAGAGAAACCACGCCTCTGTGTGCCTATGTACGTCTCTCTCTCTATGTATCTCTGTGATGTCTGTCTCTGCTTAAGTGTCTGTCTATATGTCTCTGGTTCTGTGTTTCATCTCTCTCTCAAATTTAGCATTCTCAGGAAGAACGTAATCAACCAGGTAGGGTGTTGACTGTTATACTCTGTGTGCCTATGTACGTCTCTCTCTCTATGCATCTCTGTGATATCTGTCTCTACTTATATGTCTGTCTATATGTCTCTGGTTCTGTGTTTTATCTCTCTCTCAAATTTTGCATTCTCAGGAAGAACGTAATCAACCAGGTAGGGTGTTGACTGTTATTCTCTGTGTGCCTATGTACGTCTCTCTCTCAATGTATCTCTGTGATATCTGTCTCTGCTTATATGTCTGTCTATATGTCTCTGGTTCTGTGTTGTATCTCTCTCTCAAATTTAGCATTCTCGGGAAGAACGTAATCAACCAGGTAGGGTATTGACTGTTATGTTATCCGACTCTCGGTTGTATTACATTTCTAAGTGTACTAGATTTGTGTTTCTATTTCATTTATACCTGATGATGATTGCTTGTGTTGCAATCGAAACGTCGTATGCTAGTATTTAATTTATTATTCTCTTTACACGTGACTTTACCGAAAGAACCACAGAGTAATTCCTGCAGTCACGAAAGCTCCAAGTTAAGTACACACACGAGGGGTTGGGCGGCCAGCACCACACCGACCCGACCGCCTTGTGACTCCCCCCTCCCGCCCCAACACACCGCTCCAGGTACTCATTTGATGCCGAGTCGACCTAGGGGAGGGCCCCCCGGGACCCGTTCAGATATTCGCCACGGTTATTGCGTGAATCGAATTCGAGGAATGTTCACACACACAAAGACAAAGATCCCCCGTAGAGCCCAAACAGACTGTTGGGGCAAGTGCTGTAAAGGAGCACCCACACACAGACACACGTACGCACGCAACCGCGGGGAGAGAGACACGCAAACTCCAGATGTACAGCAGGGGTCGTCAGGGTCGGGATCGAACCCACGGCTTCCTGCATACCAGGCGAGGGAGTTACCGATGATAACGACGACGACGACAACAACGACGATGATGACAATGATGACAATAATGGCGACAACAATGACGACGACGACAACAACAACAATGACGACAACAATGACGACGACGACAACAACAACAATGACGACAACAATGACGACGACGACAACAACAACAATGACGACAACAATGACGACGACGACAACAACAACAATGACGACAACAATGACGACGACGACAACAACAACAATGACGACAACAATGACGACGACGACAACAACAACAATGACGACAACAATGACGACGACGACAACAACAACAATGACGACAACAATGACGACGACGACAACAACAACAATGACGACAACAATGACGATGACGACAACAACAATAATGACGACAACAATGACGACGACGACAACAACAACAATGACGACAACAATGACGACAACAATGACGACGACGACAACAACAACAATGACGACAACGATGACAACGACGACAACAACAACAATGACGACAACGATGACGACGACGACAACAACAACAATGACAACAACAATGACGACGACGACAACAACAACAATGACGACAACGATGACGACGACGACAACAACAACAATGACAACAACAATGACTACGACGACAACAACAACAATGACGACAACGATGACGACGACGACGACGATGACGACGATAACAACGACGATGACGACAATAATGGCGACAACGATGACGACGACGATGACGTCGATAACAACAATGACGATGACGACAACAACGACGATGATGACAATAATGGCGACAACGATGACGGCGACAACGATGACGGCGACAACGATGACGACGACGACGATGACGACGACGACGACAACAACGACAACTACGATGACGACAATAATGGCGACAACGATGACGACGATGACGTCGATAACAACAACGACGACGACGACATTAATGGCGACCACAATGACGACGACGGCCCACTCACCACCGCCTCGGGATTGGGCGCCGTCATCCAGCGCTCGATGAGGCTCTCCGAGTATCCGAGCGCCGCCTCCTGCCCCCCGCACGGCATCTCGCCGCCGCCGCCGGCGCCACCATCGCCGCGCGCGCCGGCACGGATGGCGTGCCGCCGCCTCCACTCGCCCAGCTCGGCCTCCGAATGCGCGCAGTCGCACTGGGGCCCCAGCGTGCACCAGCCCAGCTCCAGGAACCTGGGGGGGGGGGGGGGGGGTGTAGCGATGACGACATGGAGAGGCAAGGACGGTCGCGATCGCGACGACGGCCGACAAAGAACGAACTCAGTCACGAAAGAAGCTTTAAATCGAAAGAGGAATCTCCGGGAGTTGCTTTTGGCGCTCTACGAGTAAAAGCCCATCAAGCCGAGAAGCTGAGAAGTTCTGCGAGTAGCTCTCAGCGTCTGAGCTGCGGGGTAAAGGGGCGGCTCGGTCAGGCAGATGACGTCAAAGCGTTCCAAAACTACGGATTTTAAACAAAAGCCGCACTTAATGATAATAACAATCATAGCAATCGTGTTCTGTAGCCTCACACTTCCAAACTTTTAAATCTCGGGTGAAAACTCATGTTTTTAGGACTGATATTTGTATTTAGTTTGTTGTCCTTCCCCAGATTGGCACGGTTGGCTACGTACGGTGCAAAAGAAGTTCACCGTACCGCCCAGTGCTTCGAGGACAGGAAGTGCTCGTAAAATCGGACCGGCTGCAATTGTACACGGCTCCAGAAGGCCGTAAGACAGAATGTGAAGACAATTCACGCAAATATACAAAGTCGCAAGAGTCTAGGGGCGTGGCAACGGTTGCCGGGGTATGATGTCATCACTCTGGCCGCACCAGCGGCCAATCGGCTGCCAGGAAGGCAACCGCCATGCAAGATGGGTGCCGTGATGTCATAGCCGCGAGAGTGTCAGCCGGCCGTTGGCAGCCGTCAGCATATTTGAATTTGACACGTAATTTATATTCTTTAATTTTGACTTTAATCAATATCGTTGCTGTTTATCGTAATTTTGTTTTTAAAAAAATCGCGATGGGCGAAAGAGCGATCGGGCATCACGAAACCCCCCCGCCCCCGATCCAGCAGTAACTAATTGGCGCGTTGTTCACGTGACAAACCTCCCTGGCAATGGCGGAGCCAGGATTTTCAGACACATTTACAAATAACGCGATCTCACCCAAAAACCTTTATTATGAATAATATTGGTCGCGAAAGCCTGCTGCTACGTGTTAAACAAATCCCCCACACCAACCTCCCCGATCGTCAGAAACTCGCACACGATTGTGCGAGCTCCGCTATCACCTGCGGCGTCGGCGGGAGGCAGAGGGAGGACAAATCGGTTGGGCGGGGAGCAGAGGTCATAACCGGGTACCCGATACCCGTACCCTACCCGATACCCGGCTACCCGTACCCGGCCTGGTACGGGTACCCGTTTGCGACCCTGGTGCGGCCGGGTACGGGTAGGCCGTGAGTCACTGGTGAGTCACCGTTTGTCACTCATTTCCCAACGTCTTGTCTCTTCTCACAATTCAAGTTCCTAGAATCAACCTACCCGCGCCTGCAACATGGCTTCATCCCAGAGGTCGCAATCGGGTACCCGATACCCGTACACTACCCGTACCCGGCCGGGTACGGGTAGGGTACGGGTACGGCCGGGTACGGGTACGGATACCCGTTTGCGACCCTGGTGCGGCCGGGTACGGGTAAGGAATCAAAATCCGTTTGCGACCTCTGGCGGGGAGTGAAGCGTGGGGGGGGTGATGGAAGCGTTGCCGCTGGGGCTCACCTCTGGCACAGCGCGTAGTCCTCGGGGTTGCTGACGCCCCTTGGGGGCGGCCTGTGCCTCCACTCGTACTCGCTGCCTGCGAGGGGCGGGCACGCGAGACAAAGATGAAGGCAAAGCTCCCCCCGGCGTAGCCTCCGCGGACCTGTGGGGGCAAGTGCTGTTAAGAGAGTAACAGCACCGGTGAAGGCTGGAACGGCGCACGAGGATTTTTGCACTTTTTTGTGTACGGTGTTTTTTCTGCAATATTTTGCTGTCTTTTCTTGGATTTTCTGTTTGCACTCAGTCACATAGTCACTTTAAGATGTTTTTTGTTCATGTTTTTGTTTTTCGTTTGTTGCGGTTGCACCCGATTCAAGAGCCGAATGGCTCACAAGGCTACACCTAATACATGAAACTTGAACTTGAACGAGGGGGTGGGGGTGGGTAGCCGAGCATCGCGTCCACCCACCCACCCTCCCTTTGTCTCCCCCAGTGGCGATGTTTACACACAGCACCAGGTACTCATTTGAGGCTGAGTCGACCTAGGGGAGGCCCAGGACCGGTTTGGATAATCGTCGCCGGTGTTGGCCGTGAGCGGGAATCGAACTCGAGTCCGCCAGGTTCGTAGCGCTAACCGCGTCACACCGACGCGGCGCCAGAGGTACGGGCGGTACCAACGGCGTTACACTCGCGCCTCAAGAGCTACAACAGTCTGGGTTAGAATCCAGACTCGGGCGCCTTTCGCATGGCGCTTATACGGTTTGGTTTCCGCCTGTTCTGCAGAGTGTGAGTGCCAGTCGTGTGAGAAAGTGTGTCGGTGAGTCTGAGAGTGAGCGAGCATGTGCATGATGTGAGTGTGTCAGTGAGTCTGAGAGTGAGCGAGTGAGTGTGCATGATGTGAGTGTGTCAGCGAGTCTGAGAGTGAGTGAGTGTGCATGATGTGAGTGTGTCAGTGAGTCTGAGTGTGAGTGAGTGAGTGTGCATGATGTGAGTGTGTCAGTGAGTCTGAGAGTGAGTGAGTGTGCATGATGTGAGTGTGTCAGTGAGTCTGAGAGTGAGCGAGTGAGTGTGCATGATGTGAGTGTGTCAGCGAGTCTGAGAGTGAGCGAGTGAGTGTGCATGATGTGAGTGTGAGTGAGTCTGAGAGTGAGTGAGTGTGCATGATGTGTGTGTGTCAGTGAGTCTGAGTGAGTGAGTGTGCATGATGTGAGTGTGAGTGTGTCAGTGAGTCTGAGAGCGAGTGAGTGAGTGTGCATGATGTGAGTGTGTCAGTGAGTCTGAGAGTGAGTGAGTGTGCATGATGTGAGTGTGTCAGCGAGTCTGAGAGTGAGTGAGTGAGTGTGCATGATGTGAGTGTGTCAGTGAGTCTGAGAGCGAGTGAGTGAGTGTGCATGATGTGAGTGTGTCAGTGAGTCTGAGAGTGAGTGTGCATGATGTGAGTGTGTCAGTGAGTCTGAGAGTGAGTCAGTGTGCATGATGTGAGTGTGTCAGCGAGTCTGAGAGTGAGTGAGTGAGTGTGCATGATGTGAGTGTGTCAGTGAGTCTGAGAGTGAATGAGTGAGTGTGCATGATGTGAGTGTGAGTGAGTCTGAGAGTGAGTGAGTGTGCATGATGTGTGTGTCAGTGAGTCTGAGAGTGAGTGAGTGTGCATGATGTGAGTGTGTCAGCGAGTCTGAGAGTGAGTGAGTGAGTGTGCATGATGTGAGTGTGTCAGTGAGTCTGAGAGTGAGCGAGCATGTGCATGATGTTAGAGTGTCAGTGAGAGTGAGTGAGTGAATGTGCATGATGTGAGTGCGTCAGTGAGTCTGAGAGTGAGCGAGTGAGTGTGCATGATGTGAGTGTGTCAGCGAGTCTGAGAGTGAGCTAGTGAGTGTGCATGATGTGAGTGTGAGTGAGTCTGAGAGTGAGTGAGTGTGCATGATGTGTGTGTGTCAGTGAGTCTGAGAGTGAGTGTGCATGATGTGAGTGTGTCAGTGAGTCTGAGAGTGAGTGAGTGAGTGTGCATGATGTGAGTGTGTCAGTGAGTCTGAGAGCGAGTGAGTGAGTGTGCATGATGTGAGTGTGTCAGTGAGTCTGAGAGTGAGTGAGTGTGCATGATGTGAGTGTGTCAGCGAGTCTGAGAGTGAGTGAGTGAGTGTGCATGATGTGTGTCAGTGAGTCTGAGAGCGAGTGAGTGAGTGTGCATGATGTGAGTGTGTCAGTGAGTCTGAGAGTGAGTGTGCATGATGTGAGTGTGTCAGTGAGTCTGAGAGTGAGTGAGTGAGTGTGCATGATGTGAGTGTGTCAGTGAGTCTGAGAGTGAGTGTGCATGATGTGAGTGTGTCAGTGAGTCTGAGAGTGAGTGTGCATGATGTGAGTGTGTCAGCGAGTCTGAGAGTGAGTGTGTGTGCATGATGTGAGTGTGTCAGTGAGTCTGAGAGTGAGTGTGCATGATGTGAGTGTGTCAGCGAGTCTGAGAGTGAGTGAGTGAGTGTGCATGATGTGAGTGTGTCAGTGAGTCTGAGAGTGAGTGTGCATGATGTGAGTGTGTCAGTGAGTCTGAGAGTGAGTGTGCATGATGTGAGTGTGTCAGTGAGTCTGAGAGTGAGTGAGTGTGTGTGCATGATGTGAGTGTGTCAGTGAGTCTGAGTGTGAGTGAGTGAGTGTGCATGATGTGAGTGTGAGTGAGTCTGAGAGTGAGTGAGTGTGCATGATGTGTGTGTCAGTGAGTCTGAGAGTGAGTGAGTGTGCATGATGTGAGTGCGTCAGTGAGCCTGAGAGTGAGCGAGTGAGTGTGCATGATGTGAGTGTGTCAGCGAGTCTGAGAGTGAGCGAGTGAGTGTGCATGATGTGAGTGTGTCAGTGAGTCTGAGAGTGAGTGAGTGAGTGTGCATGATGTGAGTGTGTGAGCGAGTCTGAGAGTGAGTGAGTGAGTGTGCATGATGTGAGTGTGTCAGTGAGTCTGAGAGTGAGTGAGTGTGCATGATGTGAGTGTGTCAGCGAGTCTGAGAGTGAGTGAGTAAGTGTGCATGATGTGAGTGTGTCAGTGAGTCTGAGAGTGAGTGAGTGAGTGTGCATGATGTGAGTGTGAGTGAGTCTGAGAGTGAGTGAGTGTGCATGATGTGAGTGTGAGCGAGTCTGAGAGTGAGTGAGTGTGCATGATGTGTGTGTCAGTGAGTCTGAGAGTGAGTGAGTGTGCATGATGTGAGTGTGTCAGTGAGTCTGAGAGTGAGTGAGTGAGTGTGCATGATGTGAGTGTGTCAGTGAGTCTGAGAGTGAGTGTGCATGATGTGAGTGTGTCAGTGAGTCTGTGAGTGAGTGAGAGTGCATGATGTGGGTGTGTCAGTGAGTCTGAGAGTGAGTGAGTGAGTGTGCATGATGTGAGTGTGTCAGTGAGTCTGAGAGTGAGTGTGCATGATGTGAGTGTGTCAGTGAGTCTGAGAGTGAGTGAGTGTGCATGATGTGGGTGTGTCAGTGAGTCTGAGAGTGAGTGAGTGAGTGTGCATGATGCGAGTGTGTCAGCGAGTCTGAGAGTGAGTGAGTGTGCATGATGTGTGTGCGTCAGTGAGTCTGAGAGTGAGTGAGTGTGCATGATGTGAGTGTGTCAGTGAGTCTGTGAGCGAGTGAGTGAGTGTGCATGATGTGAGTGTGTCAGTGAGCCCCGAGAGTGAGTGAGTGTGCATGATGTGTGTGTGTCAGTGAGTCTGAGAGTGAGTGAGTGAGTGTGCATGATGTGAGTGTGTCAGTGAGTCTGAGAGTGAGCGAGTGAGTGTGCATGATATTAGTGTGTCAGCGAGTCTGAGAGTGAGTGTGCATGGTGTGAGTGTGTCACACCATGCTCACTGGTGAACACTGGTGATTATCTGAACTGGTCCTGGGCCTCCCCTAGGTCAACTCAGCCTCAAATCAGTACCTGGTGCAGTGCGTAGACATCGCCACTGAGGAGACAAAGGCTGCCTTGCCAGCCTTCATAGGTGCCCGCCGACAAGCACTTGCCCCAACAATCTGTTACGGCTATACGGAGGATCTTTGTCTTTACGTTTGGTTGTCTACCGAAGGTATTTGGTAGTCCTAATTAGCGCAAGGAAAACACACCACACCCCTGGGGCTAGAACCCCGCCCAGGAGAGACATAGTTGTCTGCTAAACCCTTATCACGCTAAAGGCAGCCCCTCTCTCTTTCTGTTGAGATCTTATCTGGTCTTTCGAGTTCCAACCCGGTTCAACAAATCCAACTCAAAACTCGAAATCGAGCGGCAGCGTTTAAGGGGGAAGAGGACGCGGCAGATTCTTGTAAGTGTGGATGTTGGACTTCTTTCGCACCGTACGTGGCCAACCCTGATAATCGGAGGTGCGGGGGAAAGGACAACCAAACTAAACACAACAACAAGCGGTTCTAAAGATTTTAGTTCGTCAATCGAGATTATTTAAAAGTATATCGCTCAATTCTCTTCCTAACATAATAGGGGGTTTTTCCCCTTTTTTCTGGCAATAAAATGTAAACCTTTTTACAAGGATTCATATGTGCATTAACCACAATACTTGCGGACAAAATGCAAACAAAAACACACTTTAATAATATATGCATTGTCCTTGAAACTGATTGGTCCACGCCAAGGGACGGCTTTCTTTTGAGCCTCGACCCCATTGGTGCTCGACCAGAGAACGCCAAAAGGCGTCCACAGCTCAAAGACGATGCACTATCAAAGTAATGACGGCTCGGGGTGAGCATCTACATCATTAGGCCTCATTTGCCAGTACCAAAATATAATAATAGGGGTTTTTTGTTTTCATTTGACTGCAGGTATTGTGGTTAATGCAGACATGAATCCTCGTAAAAAAAGGTTTCAGTTTTGTTGCGAGAAAAAAGTGGAAAACCCTCTATTATTATATTTTGGTACTGGCAAAGGAGGCCTAATGATTTAGTCGATTCCTAACATCCTCTTAGGTTTTTTCGGTAAAGTCACGTAGGTAAAAAAAATAATAATAAAATAAAATAATAACAAATGAAAATAACTCGATTAAATCACGACGTTTCGGAGGCAACACAAGTCTCCGTCTTCAGGTGGGACCGTCACAGCCAAATTTACTGTAGCAAGTGAAGAGAAATCCCAGAGACAAGATCTTATATAATGGTTCAGGGGAGGGGGGAGGAGCTTATCTACATGTGGCAGTCACGTGGGGGGAGAGGTAAGCTCCTCCCCCACCCCTGAACCAGTATATATAAGATCTTGTCTCTTGGATTTCTCTTCACTTGATACAGTAAATTTGGCTGTGACGGTCCCCCACCTGAAGACGGAGACTTGTGTTGCCTCCGAAACGTCGTGATTTAATCGAGTTATTTTCATTTATTATTATTACATTTCATTATAATTTTTTTAAATCCTTTATATTAAGTTCACTTGCTTGCTTGCGCGCTTATGACCGTGCAAATTTTTCGGTAATTTTTTAACCCACTTCCCGTGATCCAATCGAGCTGACATTTTGCACACAGACTCGTTGTGCGTGACAATTTATTTTCGTGAAAAAAAATTTCCATAACTTTACACTTTTTAGGAATTTTTTTTTTATATTTAATTACCAATTGCTTAATGGTGGCAGGCAATCATCTGACCCATAGGTGGCAGCCATCTCAAGCCAGAGGACGAGAGGACTCTAGCCGCCACGCATATAAAGGATTTATAGTGAAAAACTTTGTTTTTACGGGTTAATTTTTTACCTACGTGACTTTACCGAAAAAAACCTAAGAGTATGAATCCTTGCAGTCACGAAAGCTTCAGCTCCCTAACATCGTAAGGAAAGAGCGTCCCGGCCGGCCACGGAAGCGCATCTGAAGACGCGCGATGCGGCCGCCGACTTTGTTCGATGTTTCGTGACGTGCCCCGAGCCACGAACTAAATGCCGTGAAATCATCCGAGCGGCGACGGGAACCACTCCACAATCCGGCGGCGCGCGCGTCAACCGGAGGCGTTTCGTCGTCAGCTAATCTGAACAGACACAGAGTTGTGAGCTGCGATGCATCCAGCCGTGCACGGGAAGGGGAAGTTGGCTGTTTTTGTCGTGGCAAAGCGAGCGACACCCGGCAATACGAATAAAATCTTGCGCAACGAAGATCTGCGGGGGGGGGGGGGGTCCGACGCAGGGAGCGCAATCATCTTTTTCTTTCGTATGGAATCATAGCAGCAGATTAAATACGTCATTTTAGATGTTTCGGTCAAGTCACGTAGAAGGGAAATAATAAAATAATACAATGAAACATAATAAAATTACATTTAATCTGCTGCTTTGAATCCATACGAAAGAAAAAGATGATTTTATTTTATTTTACAATTTTTCATTTTCTTATTTCCCTTCTACGTGACTTTACCGAAGCATCTAAAATGACGTATTTAATCTGCTGCTATGAATCCATACGAAAGAAGAAGATGATCATTTTATTATTATTATTATGTTTTATTATTTTATTATTTCCCTTCTACGTGACTTTACCGAAAGAACCAAGAATATGAATCCCTGCAGTCACGAAAGCTTCAAATGGAAATTTTAGATGTTGTTATCCACTCAATTGTCTGTTCAGACGCAGGGTGGATTTCGCCGGTTACTCCTTGCAAGAAGCAAAGAGAGGGGAGTGCTTGCAACGTGGGTCGGTCGTTTGAGAGTGGCGGCCACACTCGATTCGCCATTTGTGGATCAGGTGGCCGCACAGGGAACGCGTTCGGAGCGGAAGCGAAATGCTACAACGGGAAGTAACGCCGTTTACAAGGACGAAATGAATTGGGCACTCACTGTTTGCAAAGTCAAGTTCCGACTTCGAATCATCCTTCTGCAAAAAAAACAAAAAAAACAAGAAAACATCTAATTAGGACGAGGACACCATCCTTCTCGAATAAACAAAACCTCTCCTGGAAATTCTCAAAGAAGCTCCGACAGAAGGAGCTACCCAGGCACGCGAAACATCAGAACCAGTGCCGGATGATCCCAGTAGCTAAAGTAGCTACACATGTAGCTACTACTACACGTGTAGTAGCTACATGTGTAGTAGCTACTACTTATGTAGCTACTACACGTGTAGTAGCTACATGTGTAGTAGCTACTGGCCACGCACTTTCAAAGGCCCCGCGCTAAATGCTTACAAGCTATCAATTCCGGTTCAGTGATGCTGCACTTGCTCTATTACTATAGTACTATACTGCCCTGCAACTTTTATGAACGACTGGGCAATTTGTCGTATTATCTGGCTGTAAAGCAAATTAAACAATACATTTACTTCGCTATGCAAGTAAAAAATGTGTTTTAATATTAACGTTTCTTGTTTTAATTGAGGGCCCCTTTATAACATCATGCTACAGGCCCCAAACTAGCTTAATCCGGTGCTGGTCAGAACTCGTGCCTAACAACAAAGAGCGGCACAACACGAAAAATAAAAAAAAATAAAAAAGATGTTTTATTTTACCGGTAAAAGGCCGACTGAGCGATGTAGCAGCTCTCTTTCACAGCTGCCCATCACAAATGACAGCTCGACGGAGCGGTGGATCACGTGGAAATGTGTCATTTCCAAATACAGTAATCCCTCGCCACCTCGCGGTTCAAGTTTCGCGGCCTCAGTGCATCGCGGATTTTTCGAACTGATTTAAAGGCCTCATTATACCTGTGCAGTAACACCATCATCATCATCATTCATCATCACATTCATCGAACTGCACAGGTCTGTCGTCGTCGTCATTGTCATCGTCATCGTCGTCGTCATCATTACTGGAGTCAAGTCTCAAGATACTACTGTCATTGGTGAGTGTAGAACACCATAATACGTATCGTATGAGAGAGAGAGTGAATGTATAATATTAAGGTTTTATAATTAAATAGATTTAAGTAAAATATATATATATAAAGTATAAATATACATATTTTAAACATTCTGCTACCCACACACACATATACGGAAATTCCTAGGGGGCCAATCCTACTTCGCGGATTTTCACCTATCGCGAGGGGTTCCGGTCCCCATTAACCGCGATAAACGAGGGATCACTGTACTCTAAACGCGTGACGTTCATTCTAAGTCTGGAGCGACGTGCACGTACAGTCATCGGAACAAGAAAGGCTTAACCCGAGCCGGTTCCAAGCCTCATCCCAGCCATGCTCGGGATATCCATGAGGCCAGATGGTCGGCAACCAAAAATAACACGAAGAGACAATTTATTTTTTGTTCGAATTCGGTCGAGAAAAAGCATTCGTCAACTCCCAGTTATGTCTCTGCTGCTGCCCGTGTAGGGGGCGTGCATCAGAACGAGCGTGCGAGCGAGCCACTGAGCGAGCGTGTGAGCGAGCGTGCGAGCGAGCGACTGAGCGAGCGTGTGAGCGAGCGACCGAGCGAGTGTATGAGCAAGTGAGCGAGCGACCGAGCGAGTGTATGAGCAAGTGAGCGAGCGACCGAGCAAGTGTGTGAGCGAGTGTGTGAGCGAGAGACTGAGTAAGCGTGTGAGTGTGTGAGCGAGCGACTGAGCGAGCGTGTGAGCAAGCGACCGAGCAAGTGTGTGAACGAGTGAGCGAGCGACCGAGCGAGTGTGTGAGCGACTGAGCGAGTGACTGAGCGAGTGTCTGAGCGTGTGAGCGAGCGGGCGAGCGATCGACCGAGCGAGTGTGTGAGCGAGTGAGCGAGCGACTGAGCGAGTGTGTGAGCGAGTGAGCGAGCGAGTGACTGAGCGAGTGTGTGAGCGAGTCTGTGAGCGAGTCTGTGAGCGAGCGTGTGAGCGAGCGACTGAGCGAGTGTGTGAGCGAGTGAGCGAGCGACTGAGCGAGTGTGTGAGCGAGTGAGCGAGCGACTGCTACGTTGCCGATTTCATCGCTCCCATCTCCGCACCGTGAACGTCCTCCGTCGTGGCTTAGCGCTGGCCACCACCATTGCCGGGACGCGTTCTACCCGAGCACCCCCCCCCCCCACCGCTTTAGAAAGGCATCGGCTACCAAATCAACAAGAGGAGCCAATTATTTTGTGTTCGAATTCCGCCCAGAAAAAACCTCAACATCTCAAGAGCCGCAAGGTGCGACGTGAACACGACGAAAAGGTGGCGGTTCGCTTCGAGTAACTGACGTCACGAAGAGGTTCCTTGCTAAGGAGGCGCACGCAAGCACGGCTCTCGCAGCAGCCGCGGGCGGCCAACCCCCCTGCCCCCACGCGCCTTTGGGAGCCAACGAGGGGCTTGAGCATGGGCTGCGTTAGAGCCGTGAGCCACAGCAGTGAGCCACAGTCACGAGCCGTGAGCCACAGCCGTGAGCCACAGCCGTGAGCCAGTCACGAGCCGTGAGCCACAGCCGTGAGCCACAGCCGTGAGCCAGTCACGAGCCGTGAGCCACAGCCGTGAGCCACAGCCGTGAGCCACAGCCGTGAGCCACAGCCGTGAGCCACAGCCGTGAGCCACAGCAGTGGGCCACAGTCAAGAGCCGTAAGCCACAGCCGTGAGCCACAGCCGTGAGCCACAGCAGTGGGCCACAGTCGTGAGCCACAGCCGTGAGCCACAGCCGTGAGCCACAGCAGTGGGCCACAGCCGTGAGCCACAGCCGTGAGCCACAGCCGTGAGCCACAGCAGTGAGCCACAGCCGTGAGCCACAGCCGTGAGCCACAGCCGTGAGCCACAGTCACGAGCCACAGCAGTGAGCGACAGCAGTGAGCCACAGCCGTGAGCCACAGCCGTGAGCCACAGCCGTGAGCCACAGCAGTGAGCCACAGCCGTGAGCCACAGCCGTGAGCCACAGCCGTGAGCCACAGTCACGAGCCACAGCAGTGAGCGACAGCAGTGAGTCACAGCCGTGAGCCACAGTCACGAGCCACAGTCGTGAGCCACAGCCGTGAGCCACAGTCACGAGCCACAGCCGTTAGCCACAGCAGTGAGCCACAGCAGTGAGCCACAGCCGTGAGCTACAGCCGGGAGCCACAGCCGTGAGCCGTGAGGAGTGATTAAGAACGGGGCCCTGAGTGTGCGGTGCTGTGTACCTTCATATTCGTGTCCGTATGCAGCACCTGCACAGACAGCACAGACAGCACAACACGATTAATTTAAAATAAATGGTCACTGTAAACAACGGGTTACTTCTTTCTTGCCACCCCCAGCGCCCCTCCCCCCGGTTTCTTCCAGGTTCTACGCATTCTAGAGCGGCGCTTTTTTTGGCGTAAACCAGAGGTCGCAAACGGGTTTTGATTCCTTACCCGTACCCGGCCGCACCAGGGTCGCAAACGGATACCCGTACCCGGCTGGGTACGGGTAGCCGGGTATCGGGTAGGGTACGGGTATCGGGTACCCGGTTGCGACCTCTGGCGTAAACGCATCGGCGACTCGCGTCGCCGCTCTCATCTCACTCGCTCCAAACGCTCCTCCTGCAGCTGCTGCTGCAGTCCGGCCGGGGGGGGAGAAGGGGGGCACGCCACGCCGCACGCCGGCAGACGGCGCGCCGCTCCACGCGGCCGTCTGGAACGCCGCTCTGGCCTCCCGGCGTGCGTCAGGAGGCCACCGGAGCAGCGGCACTTTCAAGGTGGTCAACGTCAGCGTGTCGGAAAAGCCAACAGCAGGAGAGGAGCCGCGATGCCGCGTGGTGAACAGGAGACGGTGGCGGTCCCTTAACCAGTCACGTCGCTGACAGGTTCCACGCCGGATCACGAGTCGCAGGTTTTCCGACCCTTGATCTCGAGCGAGAACTCATTTCTCTACAACTGCTTGTTGTTGTTGTTGTGTTTAGTTTGTTGTCCTTCCCCCGCACCGCCGATCAGGGCGGTTGGCTACGTACGGTGCGAAAGAAGTCTGATATACATGCAAACTCCTATACGCTACACTATTATACACTACACTATAACACATTCCTGCGGAGGGAGCTGGTAGGAACGTTGGGTTGCTCGGTCAATGGCCTGCAGGGTCAACGGCGGCGTGGTGTATTCCGCAAATATGCCCGACTGTGAGGGCGGGCACAAGCCGGCGTGAGTAGGTTAAACGTTGAGTTTTATAAGGGCACCACGGGGTGACCAGCCCCTCCCCACCCAGCCCCACCCCTCCCACACCCCACCCAGCCCCACCCTCCCCACCCAGCCCCTCCCCACCCTCCCCACCCAGCCCCACCCCTCCCACCCTCCACCCAGCCCCACCCTCCCCACCCAGCCCCACCCTCCCCTCCCCACCCAGCCCCTCCCTCCCCACCCAGCCCCTCCCTGCACGACGGACGGACACAATAATCCCCTGTGGGCTGGTGGAACCAGTGGGTTCCTACCAGTACACTACACGACTCTTTGATTAACTACTATACACTATAGCGTTGTTAGGAAGCCACTGGAGCTATGGACTTTTAAATCGCCTAGATTGAAAAATAATTTCTTCCCAGCTCCTTGTTGTGTTTAGTTTGTTGACCTTCTACCCTCCCAGCACCTCTGATACTCGCGGATGGCTACGCACGGTGAAAAACATGTTCAACCTACGTCCACGCGAGCGATTGCGGGCGAGACTTTGCCATGAATCTGTGTCCGTTCAGGCACGGGTGCAATGGTCACCGTGTATCCGTTTAATCATTCCGATAACCAGAATTAAAATTGGGACGACGATCATCCTTAAAAAGAAAAAATAATGAGTCTGCCCAAGCCAACCCGCACCACACGGAACTTATTACGCATCACCGATTTAAATCTGTGCACTGCTTTTAGATTTCTCGTGCGGTGGTGGTGGCGGTGGTGGTGAAGCAGTTGTTTGTCTATCATGTTTGTCTATCTCGTGAAAAACAAGAATAAGTTTTACCCTTTCTGGGAATAAAACAGAAGTCGGGTAAAGATGTTCAAGCACCGAATAAGAGAGCTTTTGCGAGGCATCAAGTGACTGCATTAACCACACACGGTACCAGTGGTGAACATGCAAAACACAAACATGCTCAGACAACATATGACGCATCTCGATTTAAAGCTTCTTTCGTGACTGCAGGGATTCATCTTCATGGTTCTTTCGGTAAAGTCACGTAGAAGGGAAGTAATAAAATAATAAAAATAAAACATGATAAAATAATTTTCACGACGTTTCGGCCACAACGCAAGCAGCCATCCTCAGGTGAAGAACAGGTCTGTCGGAAAGACATTCAGACGCTGTCTTTCCGACAGACCTGTTCTTTACCTGAGGACGGCTGCTTGCGTTGTGGCCGAAACGTCGTGAGAATTTTATGTTATTATGTTTTATTTGTATTATTTTATTATTTCCCTTCTACGTGACTTTACCGAAAGAACCAAGAAGATATGACGCATCGTCTTTAAAACTGATTGGCCTACACCAGTTTGCTCAAATACTGAACCACGTGGTGCGCCAGCCTTTCATCCAGCAGTGGATGGAGCATGGCTGATAAATGATAACTTCACTGGGACTTATATGGGCCCCTTGATGATAACCGAGGATGTAAAGTTTCACACGGAGGCTTTCGCGACCAATATCCATCAAGAGGCTTTTGTTGGGTGAGATCGTGTAAATATAAACGTGTCGTTATTTGAGAACTCCACGCGTCTGGCTGCCGCCTGATGCCAGCTGTAATTATTGGCGAAACGTCGTCCTCAAATTGTTAATGTCGTGGATTTACTCTCACCAACACGCGACCGGTGAGCGGAAATAACCAATCGGCATGTTTTGCTCACGTATCGGATTGTGGCGGGTTTAGCGACGTATTTATATTTTGATTTAAAGCTTTCGTGACTGCAGGGATTCATATTCTTGGTTCTTTCGGTAAAATCACGTAGAAGGGAAATAATAAAATAATATTAATATTAAACAATACAAATTCTCGCGACGTTTCGACTGCAACACAAGCAATCATCATCAAGAGGTAAAATCCACAGCAAGAAAATTTTCTTGCTGGAGAATTTTTATTGTTTTTATATTTATTTTATATTAATTTATTTTATTATTTCCCTTCTAAGTGACTTGACGTATTTATTCTTAAGCGGATGGGGATGGTTCAGTGTTGCATTTGTATGCGTTTGGGTGATTTGTTCACATTTCTTGTACTGTGCACTCCTATTGTTTCTTGTTGTAACATTCTTACCCCGTGCCCCGAACCGGACATCTGTGAAAAGGAACTTCATAGCTCATCGGATTCCTGCACTATGACATCTTCCATGACCGCGGTGGGGGGGGGGGTGGCTTGAACGTACTCGATCGCACAGGGCATTGTGGGCCGTGTGAAACGAACTCGTGGGCCTCTTGTGGCCCATGGGACATATGGAATGACGTAGTGGGGCCTTATCTGACCAATGGGCTGTACAAAGAAATATTCTGATTGTAAAAAAAAATTCACCTTCATCGTGAAAAAAATCACCGTTTATCGTGAAAAAAATCACCGTTTATCGTGAAAAAAATCACCGTTTACCGTGAATAACATCGGTCGCGAGAGCCTACGACGCGCCAAACCGATGGTGGTAACCAGTCGTGCCGCGCAAACTCGTCACCCCCCCACCCCCCTCCCCACCAACCTGCAGGTGGCCGCCAGCCATCGTCTTGAAGTCGAAGACGATCGCTTTGTCGTCCGCAGCCATCAAGGCCAGGGAAGCGGCCGCCGCGGAGGACAGAACGGGCGACGCTGGCGGCGGGGGGCTACCGCCGCCGCTACCGCCGCCACCGCCGCCGCCGGAGCCCCCGTGGCCCCCGTGGCCTCCGTGTCCCCGGGCCCCCCGCTGGCTGTCTCCCCAGCACGCCGCTGCCCGGCCAGCGCGGGCCGAGAGCCGGTGCGCCATCGCGGGGCGGGGTCACACGCCGGCCCCTCCACCCCGGAAGCGAACACGCGCGACCCTGGAGGGGAGGCAGGGAGGGTGGTGGTGGGGGAGGGTGGGGGGGCAGCACGTTCAAGTTCAAGTTCACTACTTCATCATTTAATATGGTCTATGGGCCAGATGAAGTCCTATACTTCATAATTTAATACAGCCCATGGGCCAGATAAGGCCCACTACTTCATTTCACATGGCCATCGGGCCAGATAAGGCCAATTAATTCATTTCACATCGCCCACGGGCCATGCAAGGCCCACGAGTTCATTTCACACGGCCCACAATGCCCTGCGCGATCCGAGAACGGTCAAACCACCCCCCGCAGTTGTGGAAGGCGTGGAGAGGCCCTCACCCAGCAGTGGATAGACCACGGGGCTGTGCGTGTGCAGCGTCGTGGAAAGACACACGTACACGTCCATTAAGAGGTGTACTGCGGCATGCAGCGGCCTTGGATCAAACTCAAACTCCCACCACCTGGCAACCACCACCAAGCTCAAGAAGCATTAACTTATAATCCCTGACATTTGATTGGACGCGTTGCACATGCTGCAAGTGGGACTGTGAATATGAGAATCAGATAGGCAATGCCGAGCCGCTGCCACCGCTGACTGCGATCAAGGATTCAAGTCACGGTTTTTCGGCTGCCCGTGGTTAGAACGGGGTAACCGCAGGTGGAGCGAGCTGATGAAGGTCTCAACCCGGCCACCGTTGACTCGGACAGAGAGCCGTAGTTTTCGCGAAGGCACATAGACTGACGTGGAGCAGAGGTCGCAATCGGGTACCCGATACCCGTACCCTACCCGATACCCGGCTACCCGTACATGGCCGGGTACGGGTACCCGTTTGCGACCCTGGTGCGGCCGGGTACGGGTAGGTCGTGAGTCACTGGTGAGTAACTGTTTGTCACTCATTTCCCAACGTCTTGTCTCTTCTCACAATTCAAGTTCCCAGAATCAACCCACCCGCGCCTGCAACATGGCTTCATCCCAGAGGTCGCAATCCCGTACCCTACCCGATACCCGGCCGGGTACGGGTAGCCGGGTATCGGGTAGGGTACGGGTACCCGTTTGCGACCCTGGTGCGGCCGGGTACGGGTACGGGTAAAGAATCAAAACCCGTTTGCGACCTCTGACGTGGAGACCCACGCACTCATGCGGAGACCCACAGAGACCCACACTCATGCGGAGACCCACAGAGACCCACAGAGACACACAGAGACCCACACACTCATGCGGAGATCCGCAGAACCACACGGGCAAAGTTGTGATTAAAACTGGGTTTTTCGATGCGGTGAGTTAATTGTCGCAGCCGAATCACCAAAGACTGACTTCAGGCAATGGACCCGCCAAAATTAAATTTGGCTCCGCAACTGAATTTGGCTCATTTCCAGCGCGCGAATTAAAAATATCGGCGCGACCGTTCACTTGACGGTCAGAGTGAGTGGGGCAGTGCCGCCCTCCACTCTGTGTGTGAACCAGAGGTCACGTCGTGAAGCAGGAGGAGGAGTGACTTGAGAGGTGGCTCTGCGATATCCGCTTCAGTGGGCCGCTCGCGAAACCGCGATGGGCTTTGCACCGCTCCGAGAGATTTACCAACGGAATCCTCGTCCGATTAAAAGCGGGGACCGGCAAAGAAAATTACGTTCAACACGTCGGCTTTCGCGACCAATATCATGCATAATGTCGGTTTTTTTGGGTTAGATCACGTAAATATAAATACGTCATTTATCCGGCCACCACCCGACACAGCCAACCAGTAAGGTTTGTCACGTGCTCTCCAACCCACCGGTGTGCTGTACTCGTAACCAACTGGCGTGTCCTGTTCACGTGACAAACTTAACGAAAAAACTTTTTTTGACAATTTTAAAAATTTCGATTTAAAGCTTTCGTGACTGCAGGGATTCATCTTCTTGGTTCTTTCGGTAAAGTCACGTAGAAGGGAAATAAGAAAATAATAAAAAAAAATGCAACATAATAAAATACAATTCTCACGACCTTTCGGCCACAACGCAAGCAGCCGTCCTCAGGTGAAGAACAGGTCTGTTGGAAAGACAGCGCCTGAATGAACACCACCAAGCTTGGCAACGTATATTTAAGCTGGGTAAAAAGGTGTCCTCCCCTAACCCAGCTTAAATATACACTGCCAAGCTTGGTGGTGTTCATTCAGACGCTGTCTTTCCGACAGCCCTGTTCTTCACCTGAGGACGGCTGCTTGCGTTGTGGCCGAAACGTCCTGAGAATTGTATTTTATTATGCTTTATTTCCCTTCTACGTGACTTTACCGAAAGAACCAAGAAGATGAATTTTTAAAACGTGCGCATTAACAACCCACGCTGGCGGTGTCTGAACATCCCAACAAAGAGCGGACTCTTCACCGCTGTGTAAATGGCGACTAGCACTAGTCTCAACGACGACGCGGGCCTCATGTCTACTGTCCGGGCCGCTGAGAAAAACTAAACTAAACTATAATTTCACTTCTGGCCTACCGATTTAACGGGGAAGAGGCCACGCGTGCTTCGTGCTGTGGGGGCGGGTGGGTTTTGACGGAGCTTAAAACAAAAAATGTAAGCCCGTCCGGTCCCGAGGCTTTTAAAGTTTGGAGGAAACGCCGCCTCCCGCCGCCGACAGGGCCAACCACACCATCAGCAGAAAGTGTGAACTTTTGAACGGTTCGAATAGGCTGCACCGGAACGCACGCAAGCCACCGGGCTCCCGCCCCTTACCGAAACCTCCCGTCCCCGCCACCACCACCGCCCACCCCCCCCCCACCAGCCCGGCGATGGGGTGGTCACGGCCGGGCACGCACGGAAGGAAGGGGGCGCCGGGTAGGTTTAAAGAGCACCCCACCCACCCCCTGCTCCCGGCGGGTCGTCCCGCGCACGCAAGTTCACCCCGACGGCGACGTTTATAGGTCGCGAAGTTTTTCGCGACCAGCGCAGAGACACAAACGCGACAACAGTAGAGACACAGAGACAACACGAGCAGAGTACAAACCAGGTGCATTGTGGCTCTGTTTCACGGGTCTACGATGCGTGCTCTCGCCAGCTCGCACGGAACACGGCGTGGTGAAGTATGGTCGAAACAACCCCCGCTACCCGCACGCACACGGGGAGGCGCTCATCCAGCAGTGGATTGACACAAGGGCCCGTATATGTGCGACGGTCCGCGCCGGCCACGAACGTGGTGGCATATGTTATCGATTACCATTCTTGCGCTGGATTTCATTGCGGCGTGCAGTTTTTTCGTGTTACCAGAATTTCGGCCGCCTCATCGTAGCCCCCCGCCTACGAAAGAAATCTGGGCTCAGCCGCACGTAGGGCGTGAGTAGGCATACAGAGTAAAACACCGCGTTATGTCGGTATTTGAGCACTCGTAACCGGGGCTAATTCGACAGGGCTGCGCTTTCGGCTTGCACGGCGCATTCGTAATTCGCCGCGAGCCGAATTGCCGTACCGAACGGTCCAATTTCGGTATTGACGCGTGGAGCGGCTAGGCGTGCCCCCGCCACCCAGGCCTAAGCCGCGTTCTACCAGCATTGAAGCCCCCAGTGCAGTGCCTTCACCGGCCTCTGGATATTCTTCTGCAGACACCGCTGTCAGCGGTGAAGTGACCCACATCAATTCTAGATTTGAAGCTTTCGCGACTGCAAGGATTCATATTGTTAGGTTTTTTCGGTAAAGATGTACTTGATACAGCTATCGTGCTGTGACGGTTCCACCTGAAGACGGAAGCTTGTGTTGCCTCCGAAACGTCGTGATTTTTATTTTATTTTTATTTTACTTTTATTAATTTTAATTTTTACCTACGTGACTTTACCAAAAAAGAGTATGCCCCACATCAGCTGATGTCGCCGGACGGCGCGTAACGTGGTGTAAAGGCGTCGAGTAACGTGGCCTTTAAGTGAAACACGTGAAGTTTAAGTTAGTGTCATTAGGTGTTTAAGTTATAATTTTATGACAAAGTGAACAGAGTACAGTAAGTGCATATTAAGTGCATTAAGCACTCCTCCACAACCTCCATCACCTTCCACATGGAACCCACCACATCCTCCTCCTTCGCCTGGAGTGCTGGTTACCGTCGGTAAGTGTTGCTTTTGTGGAAACTTATTTTGGGGAAAAATGTATTGGGGCAGGAGGCACTGGGGAAGTCCCATTGTACATCGCTCGGAATATTGGATAGTTCGGCAAGGCCAGAGCCCCATGTGTGTCGAACAAATAAGGGTTCAATTTCGATTTAGAGCTTTCGTGACTGCAGGGATTCATCTTCTTGGTTCATTCGGTAAAGTCACATAGAAGGGAAATAATAAATGAATAAAAATAAAACATGTCCTCAGGACGGCTGCTTGCGTTGTGGCCGAAACGTCGTGAGAATTTTTTTATTATGTTTTATTTTTATTATTTTATTATTTCCCTTCTACGTGACTTTACCGAAAGAACCAAGAAGAAAAAAAACAAGGATTCACTCAGTTCAACAAGTGGTAGGCTTTCGCCACCAATATCATCCACAATAGATGTTTTACAGGTGAGATCGCGTAAATATATAAATGTGTCGTTAAACCCGCCACCACCCGACACAGCCAACTAGTAAGGTTTGTCGCGGAATGTGCCAATTCGTTACTAGTACAGCACTAGTGTATAGTGTAGTGTATAGTAGTGTAGTGTATAGTAGTGTAGTGTATAATGTAGTGTATAGTAGTGTATAGTAGTGTAGTGTATAGTAGTGTATAGTGTAGTGTATAGTGCAGTGAATAGTAGTGTAGTGTATAGTAGTGTAGTGTATAGTAGTGTAGTGTATAGTAGTGTATAGTGTAGTGTATAGTAGTGTAGTGTATAGTAGTGTAGTGTATAGTAGTGTATAGTGTAGTATATAGTGTAGTGTATAGTAGTGTAGTGTATAGTATCGTGTGTAGTGTGGTGTATAGTAGTGTAGTGTATAGTAGTATAGTGTATAGTGTAGTGTATAGTGTAGTATACTAGTACAGCACACCGGTGTGTTTGAGAGCCAAGCCACAACATTTACAATCTGA